AATATCCCATAGCCCTTTGTACTACCACACTGTGAGGAACCTGAATACAGCACAATGTCATATTTACTTTTAGATCCCTAAACCCAGCAGTTAGCATATGGTAAACCAAATGATTTTTACTTAGTGAATCTTACTTGGTTAGGTTAAGATCAGTGTAAAATTCACTCTATAGAGTACATCCGGGAAAAGGAGAACCACACATACACACACAACACAAAACAACCCTTCTATAGATATTTAGGACTAAGGGGTCCTTCTTGGTCTCATGGCCCGGGATGCCCTGTTTCAGTCATGTTACTATGCAACTCAGAAGGAAGAACACTGTAACCTCAGCACTCTCACCCCTCAAAACAGGCCTTGTCTGTTCCCAGTACATGCACATGCTAAAAGATAAGGCTCAGTCAAATAAAATGCATTATAAAGAAACTCACAGCCATTCCAAGTCAGGACACCTCGATAAGGAAAAGGCAGTGCCTCATGTTCAAATGGGCTTAGTAATTATGCTGTGAGGACATTTTCCGCCTAAGTCTTAGGGATACAAATCTAACAGGTCATCATGGATAGGGAAGCATCACTGAGATGCTTGGAAATGTGTCCCAACTTTGGAAGATTCTGTGACTTTCTTGTAGGCACCATGGGGCAACAGTAGCCTCTGGAGGAACTGTAGATGTTACCTACATCAGTCACCCCAGAAGTGAGTAATCCAGGGACAAGAATGGAGGTGAATCTTTGACATGGGGGAGGGGGCACTTCCTCCTCATTTTGGGCTTTCGAGGGCTCTTGCTCTGAGGTGTAGAAAGGGCTAGAGCTGTTCCCATGACATGATAGGATGAGTGTCATAAAGAAGTAGGCCAACATCTGGTGTCTCCCTGGCAACAACCATGAACGCCATGTCAGGAGAAGCGGTTGCCATAGCAGAAGCTGTTGTACCCTTGGTCCCTCTGGATAGTGTTGATACCCCTTCTCAGTGCTTCCCGGCCCCCCTGCATTCACCTGGAGCCAGTTCCAGGCACAGTGCCTGTTCCTGCCTCCAGCCTGAGACTCTGTCCTCTGCCACCACAGGGGTACAGTTTGGAGGTTTCTATTTCCTGCTATACAGGAAAAACCCTCAACCTGTAGTTCTGGATACGATGCACAGAGAAGGAAATTTCAATTCTGTGGGATTCCTCCCCGAAATGCACAACCTTAATCTAGTCCTGAGAACATCAGCCAAGTCCAGACTGAGGGCCAGTCTACAAAATAACTGACCAGCACTCTTCAGAAGTACCACCCTCATGAAAGACATGGGAAGATTAAGGAACTGTTGTGAATTGAGAGAAAATTTGAGGACAAATGCAATGTGAGATCCTGGATTAGATCCTAGAACAAAACAAAACAAAAAAAGAAATCACATTAAAGGCTGGTGAACTCTGAATGAAGTCTGAGATGTGGTTAAGCATTGTTGTAAGGTTAATTCCTTAGTCTTGATACTGGGGCCACAGTCTGGAAGATCTTCCCAGTATTACCAAGGCAGGGAGCAGAATAATATAGAGAAAAGGATTTTGGAGCTAAAGGAGCTAAGAAAAATGAGAAGTTCTGAACTATGGGGGTCACAGCAGGGCTGGAGAATAATGGTAACAACAAATCCTACCCAGCACTTAAAGTTCCAGGTATCTTTTTATGGGTTTTATGCACTGATGGGGTGGCTTTGATGCACTTTACATAGGAGTACAGTTGTCACAACTTTTGACTGACAATAGGAGGAATGAAGGAGAGGGAGCAATTCAGGAAGACTCCTAGGTTTCCCACTGGAGCAAGTGGCTCTGAGGTGGTAATACCAGTCAATGAAGTGGGAAGCAGAATGGATGAGGTGGGAAGGAGGAAGACACACAGGCCAGTTTGGGGCAGGTTGGTTACCAGGGGCTGCGGGGCATCCAGATGGGGATGTCTGGAAGGCACTTAAACAATAACCTTGCGTTTCCTGAGGTAGAGACCTGAGAGTGACTATTGTAGAGGTGATGGCTCAAACCCATGGTGTCACCATTGGGGATGGCATCACCCAGGAAGCAGGTATGAAAGAAAAAGAAGAGGGCTGAGATGGAAATTGGGAAAACTCAATGATGACGGAAAGAGGAAGAGCACATGGAGAAGACAGAAAAGCGGGTGTCAGAGGCGGAGGAGAAGGAACTAGAACAGGATGAGGCCCACAGACCACCTGGCTGGGGAAGGTGCCACCCGAAGAGGAAGTCTGCATTGGTACTGATGATCTAGGCAGGAAAAGTCAGTGGAAAGATAAGGCAGATACAGGGAATGCTAAACGCTCTTTGAGTAGCCTGGGTACAGAAGAGGGAAGATGATAGAATAGCTGGAGGGGGCTCAAGGTCACAGAGGCTGCGCAAAGCTCTCTCCAGGCTGATCCTTCCCAGGAGCTCCTAATATGTCCTTTTGACTGCAAACTGTTTTGTTTCTTCCTGGGTGACCCACCTACAGGTTTCCAATGTGTGTGTCCATCCTTACACCCTTACAGGTTCAAGTTTAAGTTCACAGAAGACATACAACCTCTGTAGTGAATCGCCTTTTTGACATAAAAGCTGAAGTCTGAAATAACCTTAATCTGATCCCAGGTGATGCCCAATTGGGCACCACACAGGGGAGATATGGGGCTGTTCTGTCACCATTCCTGGAGGCTGCAGGACTCCACGACCGCCATGCTCCATTACTCCGGGGCCTCGAGCTTCCCTTGCTTGGAAAGCCTAGCACGGAACATGTCACGACAGTTTCAGATCCTAACTGTAAGTTTGCTGGAGTGGTTAACAGTTGTATTGCTGGGGGGGATGCTCAATGAGGCCCACGGCTTCTCACACCTCCACGTGCCAAAGCTTTTTCATTTCTGTTCTGTATTCAGTTGGAGTGTACAACGTTTAAATATTAACACTCATTAATATTGATGTTTGAGTACCACATCAGTTTAGCTTCCTAGAAATTACTAGATTTTATATTAGCCATTCACTCACTCATTTAATATACATTGATTTAGTGCTGGAGAAGCCTGGATAAATAAATAAGATGGGGTTCTTCACCTTGAGGAGCCCACGTGTATTTATATAAATAGCTATAAGTGACTTGGAAAGTCTTAGAGTAAGGAATGTATATGTACTAAACGTGTGAGTGTGTGTGTGTATAGATTTGTACTTGTACAGGTCAAGTATTCCTTATCCAAAATGTGTGGGACCAGAAAAATCTGGTATTTTCCAGATTTGGGAATATCTGCCTATACATAATGAGATACTTTAAGGATGGGATTCAAGTCTCAACATAGAATTCATTTATGGTTCCCATACATCTGTGATACTTATACACAGCCTGAAGGGAGTTTTAAACAACAGTTTTGGTGCCCCTATAAGTCATCACATAGGATCAGGTGTGTGGAATTTTCCACTTGTGGTGTCAGCATTCAAAAAGTTTTGGATTTCCATATTAGAGATGCTCAACCTGTATATATGTGTGTATGTATGCACATGTACGGGCGGGTGTGTTCCCTCAGATATGTATATGGGGATGATGAACATAGCAAATTATTTGACCATCTCTTCTAGATGTGACTGTACTGGGTTTAAAAGTGAGCACGTAAAATTGGAAGGATAAGCAGTAATGATTTTCACCCATAGATAAAGGAGGATGAGCATGGTGAGAGTATCAGGGTATGAATATGCATGGTGTATGTAATAATGTAGCAATGGAGGACATAAAAATAATAAAACCAACAACAGTGGTTCCAGGCATTTATCGGCATTTACCAGGTGTCAGGCAGTTCTGAGAACTTTCCATACATTGCTGGAGCTGAGGGTGCAGACAGCTGGAGTTAGAATGGTGAGACATTCTGAATGTTATGCTAAGGGGTCTGGGAGGGGAGTCTCTGACAGTTCTCAGATAGGACTGGCAAGACTCGACTTGTGATATGGAAGATTCCTCAGCTAGGGGCAGAGGCAACAGAACAGAAGAGGTGAGATGGGAGGCAAAGTTGAGAAGCTTTCAACAGCTGGGACAAAAGCAAAGCAGACAAGTGAAACTGCCAACAAGGATGGATTGAGGAGAGATTTTTGAGGAAGAAGAAAGGGGCCTTGGGACACATGATCCATGAGACAGACTGTCATGGAGAGGGAAGAAGCACCTTTGGAGGAGTGGATGAACTCAGTCTAGGGGCATCCAGAGGGAGGTGGCTAGTGGGCAGCTCAGACTTGGAGTATGGGTCTGCAGGGGGAAGTCTGGGGCAGAGATCAAAGGAGGAGCAGCGAGGAAACCCCTTCATTCAAGATGGATTTGTCCTTACGTTTTGTTACTGTGAAGCAACACAAGGGTACACACTTGCATGCATAGAGGTACATACTCAAACATACTGTCATCCAGCCCAGAGGGACACACACACAGGTCCACAGATGACACAGAAACACATCCCTAGGTCACAGAAGGACACACACATACACGTCCACAGATCACAGGAACATATACACACAGGTCCATAAATCAGAGGGACAGACATGCACACTTAGCCACAGACACAGGACCATAAATCGCAGAGGGACACATACATACATGTGTCCATAAGTCACAGAGCCATACACACTCATCACAGAAGAACACATACATACGTGTCTACAGATCACAGAGGAATATAAACACTCACATAGTCCACAGGCAGCAGAGGGCTGTGCACACATAGCCATGGATCACAGGATGCACATACCCCACATGTAAATACACCTAGAGAGGCCACAACTGCATAAGTGTCCAGACTGGGGGAGCCCTGTTTTCCAGCTATACAGTGGGCTCTTTTCATTTACCCGGCAGATGACCCTGAACTCCTAAGGGGCATGGGCCCAGCTGGTCATCAGACTCACTCTGCAGCTCCTCCATGTAAAACAGATCCCAAAGGTCCCACTACTCTGCCCCCTCCAGGTGAGCACAGCACCCACCTCACCGGGACCCAGTGACCATCCATGCCACGCTCAACACACTCCTACCGAAGAGCTTCTGCAGGACTTGTCCATCGTATAAATCTTCAGCCAGGTCTTTCACAATGATTCTCTCTCCAACCAGCACATCATTGATCCAGTCAATTAATACCTCCAGAGAAAGAATAAGAGAAGAGTTATGGGGTATTTTCATACAGACCAGCTTTTGTATCCTAGACAACTAAGGTCTAAATGAACTGTTCTTTCAAGACAGCAGAGTGACTCATGGGCCCCAGTGCCACAGGCAGGCAGGTGACAGTGCGAGTCTGGAGGCCCTGTGTGTTTGCGGGTGTCAGCCCTCCAGGGGTCTCTGCTGATCTCTTCTGGCCCCATCGCTCTTTCCCTAACAGCGAGCAACACTCTCAGCGCAGGTGGGCTCTGGTGCTACACAAATGGGTTGAAATCCAAGCTCTACCTACCGGTTTGGGTGTCACTGTCATTGATGAGTGTGTGTGTGCTCCTCTGGCATCTATGAATGTGTGTCCACTCCCCTGTGAACTATGGTGGGTGCACCCATTTCTCATCTAGAGATGCAGCACTCTGTCATCTATGAACTCGTGTCTGTGTAGATCGATGATCTAGCTACCTTCCTGAGCCTCTGCTTCCTATCTCTAAAACACAATGAGAGTATCTTCCATGTTAGGTGGTAGAAAAGAATTACCAAGTAACTTGATTAAAACCAGATCTGATTCACATATAAAGCACGCTCCCATGAGGACAGTGGGTGAGGTGGCTGCTATAACCCCCATCCTCGGGAGGGCTGGACAAATGGAAGGAAACAGGCTTGCCCAAGGTCACAGAGCTCACAGCTAGAGAGAGCAGAAGGTCCCTGGTCTGCCAGCTCAAGAGTGTGTGTCTCCTGGTCCTCAGCAGCTGTCACTAGCCGAGGCCTGCATGTGCCAGGCACTGAGTGGAGGCACTGCATTTGATATTCCATTTCATTAACACACACAACACCCTCGGGAGGCATGTGGCACCAGCTCTGTTTTTCAGGTAAGGAAACAAGGGTGTACACTGCTTTGTCTTGTAATTTTCCTTTTTTTTTTTTAACTAAGACAGTATTTATATATAATCAAATCGTCTCAGTCGCTTTCCTTATTACTGATACACAGTACCAACACCCATAACTTAAAGGAGGAGAGGTTGATTTTAGCTCATGTTTCAGTGCATAGTTGGCCGGCTCCAAGGCAGGATGACATGGCAGAGGGGTTGGGGGAGGACAGCTGCTCACTTCATGGCAACCAGGAAGCAGACAGCACAGGGAGGAGCCAGGAAGGGACATACACTCTTCCAGGTCACGCCCCCAGTGATCTGCCTCTTCCAGACCCCACCTCCCAACAGTAAGTCAGCCACACCACCCCCATAATCCAGTCACCTTCCGAAGGTCTCACCTCTGAGCCCATGAGGTTTTAGGGGGACACCTCAGATCTAAACTACAGCACAAATAATCCAGTTTTATGCATAAAGGGTTGAGTTCCGATCACTACCCAGTTGGGTGATCCCCAACACAACCCTGACACAACAGTTCCCTCTCCCTAGGAGCTGATGGTGGTAATTACTGAGCACCAGGCACAGCCTGTATCCAACACAGTAATTCCCCATCTGTCCTGGAGAGGTCTGTTGGGGAGTGAAACAGTCAACCCTTCTCAGGGTTGAGGAGTCCGTGGTGCTAAGGGAAGGTGGAGGGGCCCTCATCTCATTGGAGAAGATTCTGTAAACACTAGGAGCTAACCCCGATGATAGTGTTTAAAAGGGAAAAGCAGCCTAGATATGGAAAAATCAAAGCTCTCCCTGGCAGTGAGGTAGTCACCTGCAGAGTGATGCTATGGCCTTGGACAACACCTGAGGGCTCAGGCGTTCCTGCAGCAATGTGCATCTCCAATCTCCTCTGTGGAACTGAGCCCAGGTGCAGGTCTGGTTGGGGAGACCAGCTGAGCCGGTCAGAACTCACGCTGACAGGTCTCCCTGCTCCGAGGTCTCCTAGGCAGTGAGCAGCACAGCCCCTTCTAGCACGGGGCTAGACCCTGTCCGGTGCCCCCGCTCACTGTGGCCCAACACCCTGGAGAGGCACAATGGCAGGTAGAGCCTCAACCCACAGCTGTCCCCAGGGAGAGGCTCAGGGTCCCAGTGGACCAGAGCAGCCATCTGTGGGTGCAGCACTGGTGACATCAGAGGGGCCAGATGTCCCACATGCACAAGCCAGCCTACCCATGGACTCAGATTAGGGCCCAGCGTACAGAGTTGCATGGCCTCCAGCCCTGGCCACCTTCTTTCTGCTACCTCCTTGCACTCTAGGGTAAGGCAGAGACGTAGGCAGGAAACAGATAGAAGGGATATTTATCCACCTCCTCTAAGAAGACTGACTGTCCTGATCTGGAAAATGCGGGTGATACTACTTCGTAGGGTGCTTTCGAGGGTCCTTGAGAAAAGCAGTAAAGGATGTTGTGAACGCTCAGATCCTGGCCAGGGTGAGCTCCTTGGTCCTGACTTCTTGGATGGTAAGACCAACATTCTGCATGAGGCATTTGTCAGGTCAGAGGGCCTGAATGAGGGCGACACTGCTGTGACTGCATAAAACAGCTGCTCCATGGACACCTGCTGAGGGGGAGGGCCAGGAAGCCTCTCCCAGCTTCTTACCTTCATCAGTTCTTGGAGTTTGGGGTCGCTGCGTGAGTTTGGATCTACCATCGTCCGCACTTCATTCTCCTCTTTAAAAAGAAAAAGCATTGAGTAGCATGGATGTGCAGAGAGGCATTGAGCTCATGCAAAGGGGCGAGAGGCAATTACCCAGCATGGTGTCCTCAGGGTCCAGCTCGAAGGGGATGGGGCTGAGGGGCAGGTTGATGGCATTCATGCCCTCCTCCTGAAGCTCTGAGACTGAAAGGCAAGGAAGAGCTGGTCATTTTCAGCCGACAGACCATGGCGTGGGGGGGGGGGGCTTGGATCTGGGCAGCACACGTATTTGATATTGATATCGAGGAAAAGTCCCATCAAGGTTAGATTACAGCTGTTACTCAGCCTGCCATCGATTCGTGGCTTCTCCTTGCTAAAAGGATCTAATTATTCTCTTAATCTTACCTCTTCTGCCTGTCATCTCCCTGGCTTTCCTAAGAAATGGGAAGGTCTTCCTGGGCCTAGTGGCACAGGCCTGTAACTCCAGCACTCTGGGAGCCAGTGGCAGAAGGGGCTCAAGTTCGAGCCCAGCCTGGGAATTCAGTGACTTGGTAAAGACCCAGTCTCAAAAATATGCCCTGGGGATGAGGTTCCATGCCAAGGCCCTGGGTACACTAATCCCCAGTACAGGAAAAAAAAAAAAGTGTATATATATATGGAAATCTTGCCAGTACAGAAATCTGCCTCCTCTCGGAAAAGACTTTGGGATGAACAGAAGTGAGGTGGGCTCACTGGTACATGGTGGGCACCCAGTGACTGCTTCCTGACTGGATGAACGAGGTCACTGAGTTCAGGCTGGGTTGAAGGCGAGCTTTGCCACCCTCAGTTCACATCTGTCCTGGCTTCTCCAGCCCCTAGGCCAGGGACTGCATCAGGACACCTCCGTCCCGGCCCTTCCCTGGGCTCTGGTGCAGGCCCGTGAGCTCTCAGGGTTGTGGGACCTGGGGCCAGGTGAGCTCACATCTCCAGTGTTTCCTCTGCTGAAAATGCAGAGTCCCCCTGGATGACCAGTGTGCACTTTTCAAATCCTAGAAATTTACAATTCCATTTTCTTCAAGAAACGTTGCAAAGGGTCAATGACCACTCAAGACTGGGCAGCCTACTCTTCCACAAGCACCCACCCCCAAGGAGCCCTGGTAGAAAAGCCCCACCACCCACCCTGCTGTGAGATGGGCACTAGCTGAGTGCTGACCTTGGATTACTCCTCCTGAGAGCCAACTCACAGCCCCTTACTTTTCATCAATTAAGCACCAAAAGACCACTTTTGCTGAAGGTGTTGGTCACCAAGAGGTTCTTAAGGAGCTAATATGGCAGCTGCCACCAACCTTAATAAAAGCAACGACCCATCTTTCCATTTAACTTCTTTCTTTTTATCGACTCTGGCCTCCCTGATGGCCAGCATAGGTTTGCAAGAACTCTTAAGCACAAGGCAGCCACTTACAAAGAGTTCTTTCATATCAGCACACTCTGGATGGGGAATGATCCTGCCTAACAGAGGGGGCAAAGCAGATACTAGTGTTCACTCCTTTACAGTAAACCCTTGACAGTCATGTGGGACATCACCCAGGGACTGTCTCTAATCTCCAAATTCATAGACCTCCAGCATTCTGTAGAATTCTTGTCCACAAAATACGACCGAAAGATATAGGTGATAACTTCAAAGCTTTAACGATTTTGGAAGGAAACGACTGCATTTGTTTTCTAGCTAAGTATACCTGCTTCCTTTTACTTCTACAATTTCTTCTAATATCTCCTCTAAGTCTAGCAGATTGCTCTCTTTTCCAGGCTATTTCTCATAAAGAGATACCACTCTTTTTTTTTTGGAAATAGGGTCTCACTAAGTTGCCCAGGCTGGCCTTGAACTTGTGATCCTTCTGTCTCAGCCTCCTGAGATGCTGAGATTACAGGTATGTACCACCATGCCCAGGGACACACAATTGTGCATGCAATGAGCAGTGGAAGTTGTGCTTAAATATGAATGCAAGGCTGAGCTCCTAGCTGGGGAAAAAGCTTGTGGCTGCCCAGGACCTCCTCTCCTCTAGCTATGTTCTCCCTGCAGGTCTGTGCTGTCTTATATAGTAGCCACAAGCCACTTGTGCTGATTAAGTTTCAGTGAAATAGATACTCAGTTCCTTAATTGCACCAAGCACCTTCTAATGCTCAGTGGCCTCTATTTGGTTGATGCCTACTGTCCCGGGCAGGTATGGAACATTTCCCATGTCACAGGAAGTTCAGGTGGATGGTGTGGTCCAAGGGAAGCCCATTTATCTAAACGCTGAGGACATCCACATTTAAAACTCCAGCCCAGACCTGACCCTAAATTACAGGCTTACGAATTTTAACTGCGCACTCAGTCTCAAAAAGTCTCAAAACAGAACCCTCATACCACCAGACAGCACAAAAGCAAACCTGTTCTCTCCCACCCTTACTTCCTAGATGGGACTATTGGTTGCACAAAGGTTCAAGCCCAAAATCCAAGGGATCATCAAGTTCTCCTTTTTCCTTAACCTTTCGCATGCAATTGATTGGCAAGTTTTCTAGGTTCCACCTCTACACCAGGACCAGACCACTTCTATTCCTGCCTGACCACTGTCTTGGTTCTGATCTTCAGTATGTTTCACCTGGACCACCACTACCACGTTCTCTTGTGTTTCCCTACCTACTTGACACAGTGTGAATAAGATGTAAATAGAATCACACGTTCTCCTGCTTTCAACTTTCCTGGGGTTTTTCATCACACTCAGAATAAACCCTGACTCTGTACTGTGACTTACATGACCCTCTGATTAGCCTTCTGCCTCCCTTTCATGTTTTATTTTCTTGGTAGGTCTCATCACAATTTGAAATAATTATTATTGCTATGTCTGTCATCTATTTCCCCCCACCAGAAGGTAAGCTGAATGAGGACTGGTATTTTTTTTTTTTCTGTCTTTTGAGACCGGGTTTTGCTATGTAGTACAGGCTGGCCTTGAACTTGTGACGATCCTCCTGCCTCAGCCTCCTGAATACAGGAGGGAGTGGCACTTTTTATCTTCTATTCACTATTAGATCCCAAAGAGGCCATATGGTATAGTGGTGAGGAGCCAGATGGCCTAGAAGCAAATCCAGGATCTGCCACTTACTAGCCATGTGACCCTGGGCAAATTCACCACCCTTTTGTGCCTCAGTTTCCCCATCTACAAAATGGGAGTGATGATAATACTGCCAATCTCCTAAGGTTGCTAGGAAGATTAAATGAGTTAACCTATGTATTCAGAAGACTGCCTGGTACCTGGTCAGAGCTATGTAAATTTATGCTGCTGTTATAACTGGCTATTATTAAAATAATACCTTGAGCATAGTGTGCCCTAGAGAAATATTTGCTGAATAAATAATCAGAATGTTAAGACCACTCTTCATCGGCACAGGCTATGTGTAGAGGCAGCATTTGCCACAGTGGTTTACAGGATGGAAAGGATTTCACCTTGTGCCCAGGGGGAAAAATACATTTGCTTTTTAGACCAACCCTGTGTGCACGTGGACATATCTGGGGCAGCATTTCCAGCTTATATTTTGTAAGAGAAGAAAAGCTGCATCTGTCCCAAGATTGCTGGACAACCAGAACCAATTTGCAAATATAGAAAAAGTATTTAAACATCTCTTAAGTGTGACGAGAAATGCAATATTCACAGCCAGGATTCCTGAAGGTGGATGTGAATGGAATCTCCTTTTATGTGGAGATCATTGTTAAAAATGTTTTCAGATGAAAAATCTGTAGTCAGAAACCCTCCCTTTGCCTTGCCTCTTTAATTCACTCCCAGAGACATAACAACCCCGAGAAGAAAGGCTGAGATATGTTTGCAATTGGAAATGTTTTTTTCAGGAAATGATTTGGTACAGGAACATCATTCCCATTCCATTAACTGCTGACTCCAAGCCAACTGTTTGTAAAACTGAATATGCAAACTGCCCCTTTTCAGGCCTGGCCCCGCCCCACAGGGCCCCATTAGCGGCCACTTTCCTAAAACAGCCTCCTTAGTTTGGAGTCTTCGTTTCTATTAAACTGGAGCAAGGCCCAGCAGAAGCCCTCACCAGTCCCTGTGCTCAGAAAGACAAAGAGCTGCGGCTGAATTTTCTCGGCACAGAATCTGAATATGATGTTTATCCCCTGAACCTTCTCTAACAATCTAAAACTGGGTCTGAATGTGCAGCCCTCGGTGTCTCACAGAGCCATTAGTCATAACTTAATAAACAGCTCAAATGCCTGACGGAAGGTCGGGCTCGGGCAGGAGGGAGATTGCCTCAGCTCCTGAAGCCAGCACTGGCTTTTATTTTCTGATGCTGGGTCCAGCCGTGCAGCAGAAAGTACACACATAGGCTTAGGAGTGTGAAAGACCTGGATCTGAATTTACAGGACCTTATGTGACTTAACCTCCCTGAAATTTGGTATAAAACAATTCTCCTAACAAAAGCTTAGCTGAGACTGGTGGTTTCCTTCCCAATGTTTACTCTCTCTATTAAAAAAAAACCCTTATGTTATTTCAGTACTTACTCTCCCCTCCTATGTCACAAGGTGAGATTCTGATTGGTTTAACTAATTGTGATTTCAATTCCTATAGCAGTGACTGGCTCAAGCACTGTTGGGTGATACAATCCCAGTCTGTGAGTGGTGACAACAATTTTAGAAGTTTTTATGAATCGTTTTCCTCCATTTTAAAGAGAGGCCCAAGGAAGAGAAGGCATTTTTTTCCTTCTAATCATTATTGTATCAAGATGTTACGTGTAGATTTGCTGCAGCCATTTTGTAGCCATGAAATGAGTTAGCTGCAAGAAGAAGCTAATATGTTGAGGTTGGTACAGAAGAAAGAAGAGGGTTCTAGTTGATATTGTTAAGCTACCCCAACTGTACACATCTCATTAGAGGAGATGAAATAAATTCCCTACTGTTTAAGACAGAAGAGTAGGTGTCTTCTGGGACTTCAAGCCTGGATCTCCATAATGGATACAAGGAGACATCAGGATTATAAAGGTGATGGGCAAATAGAGTAGGTTTGCAATGAGAGATATCCCTTCTGGAAAAAAGGAGGAGAGGGAATTAAGATCCCTTATACCCCAGGCTACATCTAGGGACTCAAAAAACACCAGGGTAGAAACAAGGATGGAGAGCAGAATGAACAAATTGTTTCTAAAAGCAAAAAACAGAAAAGTCAATTTATGCAGCCCAG